GATTGTGGTATTTAGAGAACAGACATTTCAGAAGGTAACAAAAAGCCAACGTTCTGGTGAGCCACAGAGCCACAACAGGTACAGAGATATCAGCTGAAGAGAGGGTGGGCGTCATACCTGAGATCTGGTATGCTAGCAGATGGCTAGGCTGTCTGAGGACAAGATTGTTCTGGCCTCCTGTCCACGGACTCAGGACCTGGACTTCCCACTTCCCTGTGTCTCCTACTGGAATCAATGAAACTGAGTAAAGGATAGAGATAAATTGTTCCATGCCTTTTGTCCCCTCACACTCAGGAAGATTCCGGCACTCCTGTGCTGAAAGTCAGGGTACTCTGCCTAATAGCTCAGGAGAGCACAGAGCCAAGAGATGGGACACGTTCTTTCATTCATTCATTCGTTTACTCATTCATGGTACAATTGTCAAGCTCCTGCTGTGAAATACTAGGGACTTGGTGTGGCATACCCTGAGTGGGGCTTACCTTTTGCTAGGGTGACCACCAACAGCCAATTAGACACTGTGTGGTATCAGGCAGATATATGCAAAAAACAAAAACACAAATCATGAGGCCTCAAAAGGGATATAGGGTGATATTTTGGTATGGTGGTCAAGAAATGCCCAAGCAGTTGACATTTGATCTGTAGCAAGACACTGATGTTCAGGAATGCCTCCTGCCTCAGGCACAGGTAATAAACATTGTCCAAAGTACCCAGCTCCAAATTCATCAGATAACAACTTGAGTAAACCAGGCTTTAATCCCAGCACTTGGGAGGCAGAGACAGGTGGATCTCAGAGCCTGGTCTACTCACCTGGTCTATAGAGTGAGTTCCAGAACAGCCAGGGCTACATAGAGAAATCCTGTCCCTAAAAAATCAAAAACAAACAAGAACAACTTGGGTAACATCTAGTCACAGATGAGGGAGTAGCCAAGCTTGGAGCGACCCTCATGAGGGGTCTGAAGTCAACAGACTCCCAACCACATATCTACATCTCTCCTCCTTCTGGCATGAGCCTCCAGATTCTTCATGGATGAAGTAAAGAGGGATGCCCCTGGGTGGATTCTGGACCAGCAGGAGCATCATTTGGCATGGCCAATACAGTCACTAGCCTCAGATGAGGGTACAAAACAGGAAGATTCCTCAGGATGTTACAACCAGATGATGGATGCTGTAGGCAAGATCCAGCAATTTCTGTTTTCTTTTAATTACACTTACAGCCATTCTATAGCTTTTATATTAAAGAAAGATAAAGTCCATATCAGCTGAGCATTCTGTATGGTGGCACTTTAGGCAATTTATGGTAGTATGCTGTGCCAATAAACAGTGATATTGTGAAGTTAATGGCAGTTCCTGTGCCTCAACAACACTGATTGCCAACCACAGGCAATGTCACATTTAATAACCCCACCCTTCCTCGGAGTGGGATGCCTGATACCTAGAGTTCGCCTGTGTGTCTTCCAACATTCACTGAATCGTTGATTTAAGCATGTATCATTTGAAAGGCAAACTGTTGTCCTACATGTCACTCCCAAAGCAGGCAAAGGTGTCATCCCTGCAGTGGATAACCAGAAAAACAAACAATAAAAAACAAAACACAGATGACTTAAATTCTTGAAACCAGGTCAATTTCTGTGATATTATAAGAGAGTAAGTCAACTTAAATCCAGTGTGTGTGGCAGTCTGTCAACTTCAACTCATGGAAGGCATGTGTCTTTCTTTGAAGGGCATAGAAGTCCAAATAATAGGGAGCTTCTGAAGAGAATGCCAGTAACTCAGTCTTTGGGAATCCTTAAATAGTTACTTTAAGTACACTCTTAAATCTTCAGAAAGTTTCCGTTAACCTTGGGATTCTACTAGATGGTAAAAGAACAAAGAAAACACTTTTTTTTCTCACTTGCAGAACCAAGTTTTGATGTTGTACAAGCCTGAAAATTGTATAGAAAGCACACAATTTTTGAAGTCTGAGAATTATTGCACTCAAAATTATTCAGAAAATAAAAATGTAGGAATTCTGGGGCTCCTAGAAACTAGTGATTCTGGAAGAAAGTTCTATGTCCAGAAAAATAATGGAAAGAGAAAACAATAGAGAAGGAAGGCAGAAATAGATTAATGACAGCCAAATAAACAGATGATAGATAGATATTTGATAGATGGAAAATTATGTAGAGATAGATGGAATGTACACACAGAGAGATCTTTGTGTGCCTATGTATTGTGTGTGCATGTATATGTACATCTCAGTGATGTATCCTAGCTCCCACATCAGCCCTGCTTCGGTCTGAATCATGCTTACTGACTTTCTTCCCAAGTGACAGGCCCACTGCAGAGATGGCTGAGAAATGAAGAGGAATTTGGATTGGCAGGTTCGGTTCAATCTCTAATAAATTTACCTCCTTTTTCTTCTTCACACGATGCCCATCCTATTGCTGACTCTATCCTGTGGGTGACCTGTGTATCCTAGTATGTGTTTTAACTCACTTTGAAGTAAACTTGAGATTCGGACCTAGGGAAAATAGCCTGCTCTTCATAAAAGTGTTATGCTGACTTGGGCAGAATTTTGTACCAGCTGTTTTTGGGATTTCGGGTGCATGGATATCAGACATGTTATCCCTAGGAGCAGGCCATCTTGCATGGTCACAGGCCAGAAGAAAGTGAAGTTGTGTTTTCTGGGTTAGAGACTCCTGCTCTGGCTGCCCAAGGCTACTAACACCCACTTCCAGATCTGTATTGGCTTACCGCTTCTCTCCTCTCATCTCAAACACAGGATGTGGTTGGAAATACCGATGGCCAGGCATCATGTCATTTCTTTTGTCAACAAAAGTCCTTTGAGACACTCTAGTATGAGTTTCTTGGCTTTTGAGAGATGTACCTTTCCTTGACTCAGTGTTCTAGCCACACTCTAACCTCACTAGAACTCCAGGAAGATTCTCTTAGGCCAAAATAAGTTTGCCTTGCATCCACTGCCATGTAACCCCTTTCCCAAATGTTCTCTTAGCAGGAGTAAGAAGCAAGTGAGGAGGTGAGGGCCATCACTCTCTCCAGACAGGTGTAGGCAGCCATCTGTGGGCTGAAGGGAATATCCTCTTAGCTTCATAGATACAGTGCTATCCTTCAAATACAAAGATGTTGCTCCAACAATGCCCCCTACACACACACACACACACACACACACACACACACACACATACGACTTAAGTCAGTGTCATTGTTGAATGAAAACAGATGGCTGTGACAGAGCATGTCTAGTGGCCTGGGACAAAGCTTGGGAAAGCCTGTTTTGGTAAAGAGGCAAGTGACAGTAAGTGACTGGGCAAGGAACACTCAGCAGGAAAGGGAAGCCCAGGAGAGAAGAGCCTAGGCAAAGGCTTGGCTTATATAAAGGGATAGAAGACCAGCTTTGTGAGTGATCCCAGGAGTGAGAAGATGCTGGCAACAGAGAGGCCAGGAAAGGAAGGTTCTCATCGGTGCTATGGACTATGAATGCAGTAGATCTGCTGTGGTTTTCACTAGTGCCTCCTAACGGCCTTTGTGTAAAGACTTGGCCTCTAGCATGTGACAAGGTAGGGGAGCCTTTAAGAGGGGAACTCTAGTGAGAGAAAGTTAGGTCTTTGTGGGAGACTTGAAGGCAATTGTAGGACTTTGGTTTCTTTTACTTTTCAGCTGCCAGAAAGTAAGCAATTTACTCAGCTGCATGCTCCACCATGATGTACCTCCTCCCTACGGCCCCAGAATGATAGGCCACTGACCATGTACTGAACACTCAATACTGTGAGCCAAAAATACCCTTTCTCTTTTCTAATTTATATTATCTTTTGAGAATTTCATACATAAATACTGTGTTTATACCATTTCTATCCCTCCTCCCTCCCCTCTCAAACTCCTCCCATGTCGCTCTAACATCCCCTCTTGAAATCATATCTACAATTATTTTTGTTACACACACACACACACACACACACACACACACACACACACACACACCTACTGAGTCTATTTAGAGTTGTACTTATTTGATTGTTTTATGATTTAGGATTGGAATCTCTCTCTCTCTCTTTCTCTCTCTCTCTCTCTTTCACACACACACACACACACACACACACACACAAATGGTTTTCTCTCCCTCAGCAACTATTGACTATTGCCTATAATTCTTCATCTGTGGGGCTAGAGAAAATTTCCCTCATCCATGTAGGTACATCAGCTGGCTTGGTCTTTGGAGGCATTGTAGAGGTAGCCATGTTGTTGAGATATCACAGGTGTAATGTGGTGATATATTATTTATAATGTAATAAAGCTTGTCTTAGGGTTCAGAATGCAAAGCTAGCCACAACCCATAGAGGCCAGGCACACATACCTTTAATCCCAGGACTCAGGAGACAGGCAGATGGATTTCTCTGAGTTCAAGGCCACCCAGAGTTACATGAGAGTAAATCAATCTAAAAGATTAACAGAGTTCACACCTTTAATCCCAGAGAGGCATATAATGTGAGGTTCAATGGATCACCCCCTTGCCTGGCTGGCTCAGTCAGTAGAGCATGAGACTCTTAATCTCAGGGACATGGGTTCATGCCCACATTAGGTGCCAATTTGTAACATGAATAATAAAAAATATGAATAATAAAAACTCAGAGACAGATATTGAGGTTCAAGATGAAGACCAGAGAAACAGAGCAACCAGCTACTAAAGAGTTCTCACCTCTACCAATGCTCAGACCAAAGGGGTGATCCTGTCCTCAGACTGCATCTCCAGAATGCACTGCTCTCTGCTAAGCCTCAGAATCCTAGACTGCTCCCCACTTACTGCTCCTCAGATTCACTCAGACTGCAATGATCTCCTCAACATGGTTGGAGACTAATTGCCTAAGACTGACTTTAATTCTTCCATATATACCTCTGGGATTAAAGACCTGAGCTATGTTATTTTTTTAATTTTAGTAAAATTTTTAAAAAAGAGAGAGAGAGAGACCTGTAACTTGCTTATGAAAGTTTTCCATGGAGAGGGATTTCACAGAAATGAAGTGATTTTATTAAAATGCTTATGAAAAACAGATCCTTAGTGAATAGCAGATGGCCATAGTCCTATCTATTTAATTGTAGTTTATAATGACATATAGAGAGTTGGTTTAATCTCCTTGCAACAGTTTTGATTACATCTTCAATTCTCTGGAGAGTATCAGTGTCCCACAGTGAGTGTGCTGAATACACAGCCTCCTTCTAAAGCATTTGGCATCATTCAAGGGTTAAGAGATGTGTGATTAATAATAATGTTAGTTGATGGGGAATCACACTGTTCAAAAGTCTCATGGGAATCTTAGAACCAGACAAGACATGGCCCTGTGCTCTTGGAGAATCAAGTTGAACCCAGTAATTCTCCCAGCTTCTTAGAATCTGAAACAACTCAGCAAAGGGACTCCTTATCAGAGCCACATTAGCCCTGGGCAGAGCCAAGATCAACCCAATGGAATCTGAACAGACCACACAGATCTTCAAAATCTTCCATACAGGAATATCTGCCCCAGTGAGCCAGGCTGTCGATGAAAGGGCAACCTGCATACAGCACAACACGCGTCTCGCATTTTCTCTGCTCATGCTGTTCCATCCTGGAAAACAACAGTCTCAGCTATCAAATAGTTGCTAACAATCAGGAGCTAGGGTTAATTCCCAGCCAGGAAGGATAAGGGAATAAGGGAATATGTGGGTGAAGACAACATTCTGAGAAGGGAAACATAAAGAGACAGGTTCTTGATGTGGGACTAAAAGGCCAGTGAGAAGTATAAAGAATGAATATTTTGTGGAACATTAAGAGAAAACTCTTGTCTATGTCCCATTTGCCTCTGCTCACTCCAAGCTAGGTATCTAGCAAGAAATCAACAATGAATGGAACTCAAAAAATGACTCCAAAATCCTAGGAGCAATAACATTTCGGGAGTGGTGCAATGATCTAAACTTCCTTTGGCAGAGTTCAGAGCTCCTTATCAAAAAGCATCTTTTCTGGGTCCCACCCACCCACAGAGGCTGAATTTGGAAGAGCAGAGCTGGACCCAGGAATCTGCATCCTTAGTGTGTCCCCCCAGGAAATGTGATGCAGTTAGCTTTGTGACTGACCCTGTCTTCTCCAAAGGGCAGCTACTGGTGTGGACTGTTTCAGTTGAGGATCAAAGATGACTTCATAGTCAAGGACTCAACCCTGGACCCATCCTGCGGGTGGTAAGCCTGAAGATGTTCTTCATATGCACATGGGCCCACAGGCACCTCCAGGTGAGTCGAATTAAATCAGGGAAGCAGAGACAGGAACCATTCGAGAATGTGCCAAAGGACCAGAGTTAACCTGCGTATAACCAGAGTCACTGTTGATACCAAGAAAGAGACCTCTTTCTCCCAAACCACTTTCTCTTTTCAACTTTATTCTCACTTGGTTTAAAGGATAATAGATGTCCCCAAGCAGCCACAGACAAATCTGTCACTTCCTACCTTCCACTTAGGAAACAGAAGAGAAAGAAGACAGGGGAGTGTGAGTTATTTTGCAAAGATTTCCTTTTTTGTTGCTGTTGTATTCTTCTTTTTTTTTTCTTTTGTTCTATCAAAACAGGCTTTCTCTGTGTAACAGCTCTGGCTGTCCTGGAACTCACTCTGTGGTCTCTAACTCACAGAGATCTGCCTGCCTCTGCCTCCTGAGTAAGGAGATTAAAGGTGTACACCACCATCACCCAGCTCTAAAAATTTCTTGAAAATGTAAAAATAAATAAATTAGTTAAAAGACTGGGGAGATAGCACTGTCAGTAAAGTAGCTGCTGGGCAATCATCACGACATGAGTTCATATCCCCAGCACACAAGTAGCCAAATTGAAGAACTCTAGGTTCAGTGAGCAACCCTGTTTCTGAAAATAAGGTGGGGACTGAAGAAGACAACCAACTTCTATCTCTGGCCTCTCTATATATAAATACACATGTGCATATATTCACACATACACACACACAAGACCGTTATTATGAATGTGTAAATATACAGAGAGAAGTAATTACTTGGAAAATTGAACAGCCATATCAGCAGAATGCTCCATAGCTTTACAATGGATTTGTCAAATTAAAGGATATTCACAAAACTTTCGATGGAGAGGTGCATATGTTTGCATATGGGAAGACAGAGAGAGAAATGCATGGACTGGGTTTCATGCTTATCCATTCTCTGCCATTGTTTTAGGGTTGAGTTTGGCTTCATTTCTTTACTTTGGCTAATCTTCCTCCCTCAAATGTGCCTCACTTGCATAATAGCTCATGTTTTTAAGTAAATGGAAACAGCTACTCCCTGCTTGCTATCTGGCATAAGTGCTAAGCCTCAGGAATTTGTAACATCCACTTGCCTGGGAGATTGTGCCCAGGGGACCAAACTCATGGTAAGGCATGCAGCTGTCTCTCCTACCCCCACCTAGCCCTACAAATAAATTACAAGTTGAGGATTTCTTAGCCTGGTTGAGTAATCAATGACACAAGGGTGACAAGACATGACTCAAAAATACAGAGAAAGTAGCGTCATTGTACATGAGCCAGGAAGTTGCCTCAGTCCTCTCGCTTGGAGTTTCAGGCATGCAGGGGACAGTCAGGAGTCATGGCTTCTTGCCTTATGCTCCCTTTCTGGGTATGAGGCAGGGGTATTCAGGAAGGCAGTGGTTTGTGGGGAGGCCTAATGACTGCAATAAGGCACAGCCACAGTCAGCAGTCACATAGACTGGCCAAAGTTTGGTAGTCAAAACAAAGAGCAGCAGCAAGGGACACCGCATGGGGAGGAGGATGCTGGGATTCAGAGTTTCTGAAGCTGTGAGGTCTGCTGTACTTCTCTTCCTGTCACCTGCCACCCTGAGTAAAGTGACACATGAAAAGCAACCAAAGAGGGATTTCAATTTAACTGTCCATTGCGTTTGTTCATTTTCTTAGCCACCTAGTTAGCTGATGCTTTCTGGGTCTTCTTTCAAATGTTCCCAGAGGCATGAGCCTGTCTTAGACAGCTGTATCTGTTTTTACAAAATAGGTTTTCCTTATTCTTAGAAGTGTGACCCTCACAGCTGAGCATGTATACAAATCACTGAGTTTGGGGTGGGCCAAGGAATTTGCAATTCAGAGAACTGTTTTAATATAAATAGGCATTCCATCCAGAACCACACACTGAAACTACTGATTTCCAAATACCAGTTTAACACTGGCTATTTTCCTCTACTTCCTCTCCATTCTCAAACCCTTTAGGAAAAAGGCAGAGTACCAAAAAATAAAGCAATACACACACCAGCACCATCACCCTCACACCTAGCTTTAATATCAGGACACAGGGCAGGCCCTCCGGTTCTACGTTCATTCTTCTGAACATGTCGGTATGTCACCTCTTATGTCTTCTTAGACTCCTCTCTTAACAACGGATGAAAAAGATATGCAGTTATGGCCCAAAGAGGACATTTCCTCTTCTGAGGTCCCAGCACACAGGATCTGTAAGCAGAGCTGACTGGTCAGCAGGCCTGTGCTACCTCCCTCACACTGAGGTTGGGTGAATGTGGGGGAGCTAGTGCCTGTATAATAACGTGTACCAACTTCCAGCTAACAGCTCCTTATTTCCACACTGTGACTTCTAAAGGTTCCCATGAGGATGATGGCAATGGGTTAGAAGGCTGAGATCTTGTGGTGTAAGCCTATGGTTCAGCCACAGAGATCTCACAATAGCTAGAGCCTCTCAGCCTCCCGGGTATTTGGTGTGTGTGCTCCCAGCCCAAATCTGTTCACATAAGCCCACGCACTGCCACGTTCTCTTACTGTGATGGTACAGCAGTCCATGGGGAGGGACAATCTGGAAGACAAGCCGTGTGTTTTCAGGAGTCCCTCTCTGACAGGCTCCCATCCTCTGTGAGCCAACTCTTTCTTTTTTAAAAAATGATTTTGTTTCTGAGTGATTCTTTGTGGAGTTCACATCATGCATTCCGATCCCACTTAACTCCCTGTCCCCTCAAATGCACTCTCTGTCCTTGCAACCTCCCCACCCCAAACAAAACCAAATTTAAAAGAAAGACCAAAACCCAAACAAAACAAGGGGGGAAAAAAAAGAAGAAGAATCTTGCCATGGAAGCTATAGTGTGGCTCAGTGAATCACATAGTGTACCCGTTAGTCTGTTCATCTTCTAAGTGTTCATTGCCAGGAGTCGTTGTTCCGGCTGGAGGTCTCTGGATTCTGATACGCCACTGATAATGGGCTTTCACTGGGGCTCCTCTTGGATATCCTGGTTGCCCTGTGTCATAGAGATCCTGCTACTTTGGAACTGTAGGTTCATCCCCTTTACAAGCTCCAGCAGTTCATAGATGAGGTGGATATTGGGGTGGGGCCAACTCTTAGCCCTGGTTCTGGGCCTGGATGGTAACTGGGTTGGCCAGCCTGCCAGCTTTCCCTCATAGTCACTACCCAGCTGAGCTCTCCAGCACTGCCTTGGCTAGCTCACCCAAAGCAGCCTGCAGCAAGGAGTGAGGCTGCTTCTTCTGATCTCAGACCTTCAGATCCAGGTCACCCACACTCACACCACCAGGGTCAGCTTTACGGTTTTGCCTAGGCAAGGTGCAGGGCCTTCTCTCCCGATTGCTGTAGGGGCATAGGTGTAGTAGGGAGGGTCAGCTCTCCTGCTTTCATGCCCTCAGGGACGGCTCACCCTGACAATAGGGTCACCTCTAGTGTGCTGCTCGGACTGGGTGCAGATCCTGCTATCTTGTGTGCTGCAAGCCGTGATGGTCAGGACTAGCTCCCCCAATCCAGTGACCCTGGAGCCAGCTCTTTTACCTGCTGTAGGTGGTAATGGGTGAGGCATCTTTCTTTCAACCATGCTACCACATGGCAGATGAGGAGGAGTGGGGTCACCTCTCCTGCTCTCAGGTCCTCAGTGTCTCAACCACAGGGTCAGTTCTAGTATGCTGCCCTGGTGAGGTGCACACCTATGGTGAGGGGTAAAGCCATCTCTTCAAAGTACAAGGGTAGGGGGGCAGCTCTCCCTTGAGGGATAGAGCAGTATCCAGCAAGGGTCAGGGCCAGCAAAGGCCGGGACTGGATCAACACAGCCTGGTCATTGGAACCATGCTATAAGCCAACTCTTCATGGGAGAACATCATCTAGAACCGAGTCCCCAAGTGACAGACTCTCTAGAATAGGACTTGTCTCCTACACTTGCTGTGGACCCAAAACCCAGCTCTGTTCAAGGTCCAGGTCATGTATTCTCCACAGCAACCGAGAGAGGCAAGCCTCACCCCCCTTCTTAGGGTACATGTATCTAAGCTTGACTCTATAGGGAAGCATTGCTGGTGCCCACATGATTCATTTCTATCACTTTGTGTCAGGTAAAAATCTGTGTATCTAGCCTCACCACTGTAACCCTATGTAGTTGTCTAGAATATCAGATTTTCATGCAGAATTCACAGCATATTGTCCTGCCCACTGAAGCACCTCTTTGCAGTTTTAATTTCTCAGAGAGTGGACTTTTTCCACAGCTGGTCTTCTACATTTGATACATCTTATAATTAGTAGGAATACTATTTTAAAGCTAGGCAATCAGAGGGGAGAGGTGGAAAGGAGAAACCTGAGTAGCTGATATTGATCTAGAGAATAAAGATAGGCAGGTGCCAGATTACTCTGCAGACCTCCTATAGCAGGCCTCACTTTGCCACCACAACCAACAGCCAAGTCTCTGCCACTGTCTCAGAGGGAACAGAGGCTACCCTGAAGCTCTGACCTTCCTGATCAGAGGAAAAAGGCAGTGTTGTCCATAAGAAAAGTCCGCCCAACATGTGCTCTCTCTGTCTCTCTCTGTCACTGTCTCTCTGTCTCTGTCTCTGTCTCTCTCTTTTACTCTCTCTCTCTCTCTCTCTCTCTCTCTCTCTCTCTCTCCCACACACACGCACACACACACACACACACACACACACACACACACACACATACACAGGATCACAAAAATTGCTTTGCCTTCTTTAGCAACCACTGGGAATTGTAGAAAAGTGACCCCCCCACCTCCTTCTTAAGCACTGGACATGGGAATGGACTAGTTCTTGTTGCTAGGAAGTGACTAAGAGGATTGACTGGACAGAGGAGAATGCCAAACATGGAGGACTCTACCTGTTACCCCTGTCACACACAGAGCATTACCTTCACCTCTGTTTCTGCTGGAATCCTCATGACCACAATTCCCCCTGGTGTCAGTGATCTTGGAGAATGAGATCACATTCCCACTGCAATGCATATATAAGCTACCACCATGATACTTCCTGCATAGACCTTGTTGGCCTGGTCTCTCCTTCTATTGACCTGGTGACTAAGCCCATATCACCTAGGTTGTGCAGGCAGTTTATTTAATCACAGGTCCCAAGACTGAGATTGAGTGTGGCCCAAGGCTCATCAGACCATTTATTGATAGATGTCTTGGTTACTTCTACTGCAAAGTAAGCCAACCCAAAACTTCACTGTTTTAAGCAGCAATCAATTATCACTTCTCAGAGTTAGCTGTGTAGCAATACTGGATGTGGCATGCCATTCAGAGCTCACCTGGAATTTCTACAAGGCTGGCTCACAAAGCCAGAGCCATGAGGATAGCTTCAAGGCTGAGCTTGTGTTGTCTCAAGGTCTTCCTCTCCATGTGGCCACTCCTGAGCTGTTTTATTTTTCCCAGACCTTAACAGTCACAGAGCACAAATACCATGGGCCCTTCTAAAGGCTTAGACTCAGTATCTTCTGCCATACTGATCTCTGATCATTTTCTTTTCTTCCGTTTATTTTTTGGTGTTTTGACACAGGCCCTCTCTATGTGCTTCAGCCTCATGTATGCTGGGATTACAGGTGAGCAATACCACATCCTGACCCTGCGTATCTTTGAGTATTTCTTGGCAGCACTAATCCAAAACCATAGCTCACTCTGCACTGAACATGGCAGCAGTGTGGGAAGAGGGAAGCAAACAATGTTGCCACAAGCCTGTTTGCTCTGAGGGAAAATGAAAAATTAGAAGAAGACCAGTTCTCATCCTGACTGCTAAACAATTCCATTACAGCTTTATTGTAATCCTAAAGACCATGGCAAGGCTTACATATGTAGAAAACCTCTTATTATGAACCAAACACCACCCTTATAAGCAGCACTTTCATCAAAAGGACACTGTTTTCCCTCTACAGTCATTATGCACGTCACCTTTTGTCATATGTGTGTCACTCTTTGAGATATATCTTACATCCTAGTGGGGCATAGGGAACACCACTGCAATAAGCCCAGTGACTGTGGTATGTGATCGGAAGCCACTTAGCCAAGACCAACAAAAATAGCATGTCTGAATCAGAAGCAGTGGCCCCTGCGTCATGGGCATCACCTGGTCCCATGGAGTAATGAGTGATTCCAGCCCCTCTCCCCAAGCACAGATGATGACTAAAGGCTTTAGAGTTTCATTTGGAGGGACATGTCTTGGCTAATACACATTAATCATGTCCCTCTTAAGTAATGCTTAAGCCATTTTATGGGTTTTTATCATGAACAAAATTTAAGCATTTAGGGCATAAGCCATATTCAGTGAATATTAAACTATTATTTTAGAAAAAAAGAAAAAGAAACACGGGTGTGGTGTGCTTGTAACTTAACTCACAGCCTTGGAGCAGTCTGGAATGCCCTTTGGAAGTTAATATGGAAAAAAGATACAATCTGCTCAGGGGTGAGAGACCTCATCAGATCCACCATAAATTCCAGAATATTCCTCTAAGTATATCTATGAGATAGAATCTCAACTTCAAACTAACAGAAGAAAAACCATGGGTTATGTATTAGCCAGGGTTCTCCAGAGGAATAGAATTGATAGAATGAATGTGTGTGTGTGTGTGGGGATATTAGAATAGCTTACAGGCTATGATCCAGCTAGTGCAACAATGGCTATCTAGGAACATAAGGCCCACAAATCCAGCAGTGTTCATTCCACAAAGTTGGATAACTCAGCTGGTCTTCAGTATATGCCAGAATCCCAAAGAAATAAGTTCTACTGCCAGTGAAGGAATGGACTTGTTAGCAAGAGCAAGAACAAGCCAAGAACAAGCTTTCTTCTTCCATGTCCTTTATATAGGCTGCCAGCAGACGGTGTGACCCAGATTCAAGGTGTGTCTTCCACCTCAAAAGATCCATATTAAAAGTGGGTCTTCCCACTTCAAATGATTTAATTTAAAAAGTCCTCATTGGTGTGTGTACCCAACCACTTGACTTTTCATTAATTCCAGATGTAGTCAGGTTGACCATGAAGAACAGCCATCACAAGCTGTCAGCTGCACTGCTTCTCCTAGTGGTGCCACAGTTTTCATTTGCCAGTAAATGGAAAGGCATCTTCTGTGCTAGCCTTAAAGGTCACAGGAGCATGAGAGTCCTACAAGAACAAATATGGTTAACCTAAGGAATCTCAAGCATCTTTTCTTCCTTCCGGTGGAGGGAATAGCCACCCAGCTTACTGTAGCAGGCCTCTTCCTATTGTGACAACTGAGGCCAGAGTGGAACCCTCCCTTCTTTTTCACACTATTAAGAGAACAAACAGTGTGTGTGTGGCGGGGGGAGGGGTTGAACCTCTGCCAATGGGTCCTGTTGACACAAGCCACCGAAACTCTGGACCAGGTGGCTTTCCTCCCAGTCTTCCTTCACCTTTGCCATGTCAGTCTCCATCAGCAACAGGTTCCACAGAGGGAAGGCATTTGGCTTGCACAGAACAGAGAGGAGGCTGACAGAGATCAGCCAGGAGTTCCTCTGTGATCAGGAGTACAGCCATGAAGAGAACCTGCTGGAAAAGCTCACAGCTTTCAAAGAGTTTGGAATTTGACCTGAACAATGAAGGCAAGATTGATCTGATGTCTTTAAATAGGATAATGGAGAGGCTGGGGAGGTCCTTAAGACCCACCTGGAGATGAAGAAGCTGATCTCAGAGGTGACAGGTATTGTCATTGACACCATCTTGTACAGAGACTTTGTAAATATGATGCTGGGTCAACGGTTGGCTGTCCTAAAGCTGGGCATGATGTTTGAAGGGAAAGCCAGCGAGAGCAGCCTAAAACCAGCTGGCCCTGCTCTAGGGAGAGACATTGGCAGCCTGCCCTGAGGACTCACCTGGACCTTCCAAGCTGCCATTCCAGCCCCTGTCTCCATTCTGTGCTCTCTGCTTTCTGTCTTCTGTGTTTTGTTCTAGTGGACTCATTTCTTTTTCATCTCCATTTCTTTATGGAAGCACATGTTACTTGTCTTAATGAGACTGAGGAATCCTGAGCCTCAGGGTCCCTCCTCTCTGCTTCCTGCTGCCCTGTCCTCCCTATACAGAAGGGCTGACATTAAACAAAGAACAGGAGAGGGCATGGAGGCGGCAAACCCAAGTTCCCGTGTTTGAAGAGGGTCCTGTCCATCAGTTCACCTTTCTAGGTTTCTAAGCTAAGTTCAGACTTCAGGGTTGAGCCTACTGGGCCCTCCCCTCCTGCTGTCAGAAGAGTCTAAGCAGGTACAAAGTTCCAGGGTGCCTAGGACAGCTTCATGCTTCCCATGTTCCTGCATTTTCTAGCAGCAGCCACTCAATGTCTCACAGACACCATTGATTCCCCTTAGTTCTGGCAGATCTGCATCCTTAATGACATGACACAAGGTAGGGAGGAATGAACAACTGTCCGAGTCCCTCAAAGGAACCAGAAGGAACTTCTGGCTTAATTCTCTGTTTTTAATTAATTAATTTAGTTATTTATTCAGTTTAATTTCATTTTACATTCCGACCACAGTTCTCCCTCCTCCTTCACCCCCCTCCCCCGGTCCACCACTATCCACTCCTCCCAACTGTGTAAAGGCTCCCATGAGGAGTCAACAAAGTCTGGCACATTAAGTAGGAGCAGGACCAAGCCCCTCCCCACTGCATTAAGGCTGAGCATGGCATCCCACCCTAAGGAAAGTGTTCCAATAAGCTAGCTCATGTTCCTGGTCCTACTGCCAGGGACCCCTCAGGTAGCCCAAGCTTCACAACTGTGTCCCACATAAAGAGGGCCTAGTTTGGTTCCGTAGAGTCTCCACAGTTGTCAGTCTAGGGTTCATGAGTTTTCATGAGCTTGGTTCAGCTATATTTGTAGATTTCTCCATCATGATCTTGACCTCCCTTCTTCATAAATTCCCTTTTCTCCCTCTTTAACTGGATTTCTGGAACTCAGTCTGGTACTTGGTTGTAAATCTCTCCATCTGTCTCCATCAATTACTGGATGAAGGTTCTATGATGATAGTTGGGGTATTCACCAATCTGATGACAGGGGAAGGCCAGTTCAGGCAGATTCTCCACTATTGCTAAGAGTCTGAGCTGGATTTTTGGGAATTTCCCTGGCACCAGGTTTCTCCCTAACCCCATAGTGGCTCTCTTTATCAAGATATCTCTTTCATTGCTCTCCTACTCTGTCCCCCCCACCAACCCATTCCCTCATGTTCTCACTCCCTTCCCCTCCCTTTACCACCCCACAGTCCCCAATTTACCTAGGAGATCTCATCTAATTTCCCTTCCCAGGGGGAATCCATATATCCCTCTTAGTATCTTCCTTGATACCTGGAGCTGTGGAACTGTAATCTGATTATTTTTTACTTTACATCTAATAACCACTTATGAGTGAGTGCATACCATGTTTGTCTTTCTGAGTCTGGGTTACTTCACTCAGGATGGTTTTTTTCTAGTTCCATCCATTTGCCTACACATTTCATGATGTCATTGTTGCTTACAGCTGAGTAGTAATCCATTGTGTAAATGTTCCACATTTTCTCTATCCATTCTTCAGTTGAAGGGCATCTAGGTTGTTTCCAGATTCTGGCTATTACAAATAAAGCTGCTATGAACATTGTTAAGCAAATGTCCTTGTGGTATGACTGAGCATCCTTTGGGTGTATCTGGCTTTGTTCTCCTGTCCACTCCTTCACAGACAGCTCAGTGGGATAGTGAAGTTCTACTGTCCCTTGCTTTGGAGGTAAAGGTGAGGACAATGGTATGGGGGAGTCCCACTTTCAGGGAAGTTGCTGAGGGTGCCAGGGCAGAAAAAGAGTCAAGTGATCATGTTAAATCTCAAACCGAGAAACAGGCTATCTGTTTGCATAGTGTCCCAAATCTATCTGTTTACCTTCCTACCCAACTTGTCCTTCCCTTCACTCACTCACTCAGCCGTTATTTATAGAGTACCTAATACAATCTTTAATTCCTGAGAGAGAGACAGAGACAGGGAGACATAGAGAGAACAAACAGTCCCCACCCCAAGCCTATGTCCATGCATTCCTGTCACCTGTCAGACAGAAATGTGTAAAAGTCACCATGTTTAAAATAAGAGTCAGTCTCAAACCTTCCTTCCTGATCCAAGTTCCAACAAAGGACAAGGGAATAAATCTTACATCAGGGGACAATATTACAAGGCCAAGGTTCCAATGGCTTAATTTGTATTCTAGAATCAAGCAAAGCTTCATTCCATGAAACAGGTTATGTGGCTTGTGAGCCCAGTGGAGGAGGGAGGATTCAGAAGGGTTGAAGAGAGAAGAAACAAAAGCAGGAGCTGAGCTAGTTACTTCAAAATTGTGTTCCTTGTAACCCAGAGGTCACAGAACAGTAGGAAGTTAGCTGATTAACTGCCATCGGGTCATGTGAGTCACTTCCACAGTGTAAGGATGAAGACAGCAGAATTATCTAACCCTGATCTCTTAGAAAGCCAGACCATTTCACTGCAGGTAAGTGACCAGGAATTTGAGCATATTCGATTCTATTTTAATTTTTATCCTGCTCTGTCAGGATTCAGTGCAGAAGCCTTATCTAAAGCCTGGCCTCCTAGATTTTTTTTTTTCAGAGCTAGGAAACCAGGACCAAAAGGCAAGCACTTCGCCACTAAGTTGCTCCCTGGTCTCTTCCTGTGATGTTTGTTTAGCATCTGGAACATAAGTCAGATGGAGCTCAGGAGAGGCACCTTCACAAACAGCAGACTGGCATCTTCCAGAAGTCTTTGCAGCAGATGTTTGTTCCCTGGTGTTTCTGAAAGATAAGCATCTGAAGTCAAGGTGGGACAGTCTGGGCTCCTCTGTAGCCCCTCTCCTTGCTAGGACCTCATGATTTCTAGGACACACTTCCCTGTGTGTCTGTGTCCTCTCACTGCTTATCCAAGGTACCAGTCATGTGAGATCAGGACCTGCCCTGATAACCTCATTTGGCCGTATCTCCAGAAAGAACAGTTCTTAAAATAGGTGCTTCCTGATGTACTAGGAGTGGGTGCTTTGCCATGATAACTAGGAAAGAGGGCACAATCCTACCTATGACAGAGATCATTCCCCTCAAACCACTGGACTCCTGAGGATAGTCCCACCTTCCAAATGCAGTGGATGTTCATGGTAAAATGAAGGGCCCAACAAGAAGCAGCCAAGTGTAAAGGCAGAGTTTTTCTGTGTCTAGGCAGTAGTTCCCAAATAACCATACAGAAACTTCTCATTATGTGTTCATCTCATAGCACAGGCTTATTATTAACTATCTCTTACAACTTAAATTAATCCATTTGTATTAATCTACATTCTGCCACATGGCATTACCTCTCTTTCATCTTACCTCCTGTTTCCTCCGCATGTCTGGCTGGCGACTCTTCTCTCTCCACCCTTCTTCCCAGTGCCCTTAGTCTGGCTTTCCCACCTAACCGTATCCTGTCCAGCTATTAACCAGTCAGCTTCTTTATTTAAACCAATCACAGTGGAGTTTACAGAGCGTAAAGGAATATTCCACACAAGCATGTTAGTGCTTACTGCTGAACAGAAGAGGAAAGGGGAGAGGCACCTTCTTCCCACCACCACAGAGACTCTCAGGTGGGAATGCCTGGTGAGCTAAAGCCTAACAGGGAAAAGGAGCTGGGAATAGAGTTTAGTAGGCAAAGTGCTTTCTGTGCAATCATTAAGATCTGAGATGCCCCAGAACCCATCTACAGAAGCTAACATGGTAGTCTGTTTTTTGATCCCAGCATTATAGATACAAAAACAGGAGAGTCCCTATGACTCAGTGGCCAGCAAGCTGGGCCTAAATTGTGAGCTTCAGGTCCCATTGAAAGACCCTGTCTCAAGAAACAAGGCAGACAGTACATGAAAAACTACACCCAAGGATAACTTTTGGCTTCCACATGCATATACACATATCTGCACCCACTCACACATGAAGATGCACACGCAATTATTTATTAAAATAAAAATAGAAGAGAAAGGGGATGAGAAGGAAATGCAACAAAGAAATGTGCCCATGAAAGCCAGCCTTCCTCCTGGGTGTGTGGCTCTGATAAAGGGCTTCTAAATGCTGTAAGTCCACTAGGTCTATTGACTGCTCATGGGGAAAGGTTTGGCGTGAGAGGTCTGATCATCCATTCTTTCGCATCCAACAGAGAAACAAGTAAAAAGCCTCATTTCCACTCTCCCTCTAACTTCATAATGATAGTCAAGAACTTGTTGCTGTGACAGTAGTTCTGATTCAGTGGCAGTTCCTGCCCTTGCTCCTGGACCCTAGAGGGGGATGAGCTGGATGCTGAAGCATACTTTCCCAGAACTTGTGCCACCCATGGGAGGACCACACTTGGAGGACACTGGGTCTCAAAGGACCTGTCACTGACATTCTATGCTTACTCTTTGGTACTTTGCAGATGACACCAAGCATCATAGACAGAGTTTCTGGGACATTGTAGTCTAAGGAGCACCAGATAGAATGGAGTCATTTGGGTCATTTACCTCATCACCCTGACTCCAGCTTCCCACCTGACTGCTGTTTCCATCTGGTTAAAAATCTCAGATGAACCATCTGTCCTTTGCCAGTGGCTGAGAGCAATGGGACTAGGACATCTGAGTATTTTCAAATAGACATTGGCCTCCATTTGATTAATTAATACACAGAACTCTAAGACCAGTGCTGGACTGTTGGAACAGCTAGGGCAGACACCCTGATCCAGACAAAACTCTCAAAGATGGGCCCAAGCTGTGGCCACCACTTTCCACAGGGTTCTTGGTCCCAGCCCCCTGCAAGATGATAGAAAGACAGAAAGGGAGACTTCAAAAAGACTCATTAGTAGTCACTCCATGCAGCCACCCCTCACTCCAGAAGATCCCTGAATTTGTTCCAAGTCACCCAATACAGGACAGGATCCTATCTAACCTAAGAATACCCAGAGTCTGGTAGTCCACAAGTACCAGGACAGTGTCAGTGGGATGCCAGGGAGTGGGACAGGTGCCAGGCAGGTGAAACGGGGAGACTGGGGTAAGGACTCTTCAGCAACCAAATGGCATCCAGAGACCCTATAAATAAGACAGTGCATGGAAACTTTTTCTGCAACATACATCCCTAGCCACCTGCCACAAAGATACTCACACAGGAGGCCCTCTTGTACTAGAGTCAAGTTACCCAATTCAAAATCCCTGCAGGAAGTTTCTCAGCCTCCTGCAGGCTTCAGTTCAGAAACCATGAACTCAAGAATTTCTTAAAGCAATGTTTGCTTATAGCATGTGATCTCATGGATAATATTTCTAGTTAAAGAGAAAACTGTGAATAGCTGTCCTTTCCCTGGAACCCGGATGCCAGGCACAGTGAGGGATGAACTGTAACTGTCCTGGCCTGATCTCTTAACACACAACTGAAGACATCCATGTAACCACACATTATACCTTTCCCCCTGGCTACCATTTCAGATGTGCAGTACATACTTGCTTCTTTCTGTGGAGCTGATCTTGTAGCTACATCTTCTTTTGATGTAGGGAATGTATTTTTAATTTTCATCTCCCCCTCTCCCTCTTGATGATTTTTTTTAATAGGAGGGTGGTACTACATTGAAAGAATTTTTAAGTCTGTTTTACAGGGCTGTGTGTGTGTGTGTGTGTGTGTGTGTGTGTGTGTGTGTGTGTGTATGGCTCAGTAGCAGAGCACATGCCCAACACATGTACTTCTCTGGGTTTGATCCAAGAGTTGATTCATACACATTGTTTAGTTTTTCCTAAATTTTGGAATATTTCCCAGTGTTATTTGTCTCACCCAGAGGGTGAGTGGCACTCACTATGGGCACTGGTTAGTGTCGCTCACTGAGTTCCACTTTTCTGGAGATTGCCAACTCACTTGAAACCCTGTGTGCTGAGAGCTGAGCAGGCTGTGAATCAGAGCCACTGGCCACCCAGGGACAGTGAGGATCCTCTTGCTCTAACATGTGTCTGGATGAGGCAGCAAGGGTATCCTGGTTCATCCGAAAGGGGATGCTCAGAAACACTGTATTTCTTCCTGATTCCATTTTAGGACAAACTGTCGCAACCTGTCACTCTCAGGAAGCACTGAGTGTAGCCTGAGTGTGCCAGGACAAGGGACCTTCTGTCCTGTACTGCCATATACCATGTGACAGCAGTAATGGTGCTTAGTGGAGTAGATAATCCATAAATATAGTCACTTCCTCCCCCAAAAATATTAACTAAAAATTCCAGGAACAAACAGCACATCTGTTTTAAATAGCATTGCTGTGATTATCCTACCTCATTAGCTAATATGAACCTCATATTGTGGCTGATTCATAAGGAAAATGTTTATAGATATGGATATAGAGGGGAAATATCATATTCCTGGGATTTGGTGCTACCCATGGTTTCAAATACTTCGCCAAGGCCTTGGGACGTCCCCCAACAGATGGTAGGGCTATATTTGCCAAATTACTATGTGATTTTAGACAAGTCACTTGACTTCTCTCAACCCTCATTTCAACAAAATGGAGGCTAAGTTTAGGGTCTCTGCTGCATTACCCAAGGGAATTAAAAGTGACTCACAGAAGATGCTTTGCCACATGCACAGTATTTAAAGGGGCACGGGATTGTCATCTTTGTTACTCATACTCAAAAGCTGGCAACCAGTGCCCAGGAAAGTTTCCTCTGCCCCTGGGAGAGGAACCACATCTTCCCTGACCCCAGGGCTCCTTACTATTGTAGCAACACCTCTTTACTCAGGAGGGAAGGCAGCTGTGAGGGTGGAGCAGCCCAGGAGGTGGAGTGAGATTCCTGGAAGGAATTCCTGCCCTGTCTCTACACTCCAGTCCAGAGGGCAGTGAGGGAAAGGTCAGCTACCACACTGGGCCTTCCACACACCATTCTGGGGACCATTGTGTTTCTGCATGACATAACCAATGGAGGATCTAGCTAGTAGTCCTCCCTAATGGAGGAACCTCCTCAGCCATTGAGCTGGAACCCTGTTCCAGTCCCTCTTCAGCTCTGTCTCCCTTGGGAAGAATTCCCACTTTGCACTGGTGCTGACAATTTGGAAGAACATAGAAACAATAATCAAAAACTAGTGACACATACATTACACAAGTACCCAATACTGTCCTTTGACAATATTTGTGTTCTAATAAAGACTCACAACCTTAAAAAAAGAAATCACATTTCCTTTGTCTCTAGTGTTTCACTCCGGTATTAGAGGCAGGGAGCGGTTAAGGTGTGTTTCTCACTATGACAGGATTTTCATGTGGGATGTTTTACTATTCCAGGCTTTGCCTGGAGTGCCATGTCAGCAATCATGATTTCTGAAGGCTGATTTGAAGGCTGCCCCACCCCACAGGGCTGGATCTTTGAACAGTAAGCATCAGAGAGAGTGTCTGGGTAAGGGCACCCATCTTTCATCCTTACCATGCACTGGCTTTAGTCTGAAATCAAAGTCTGAGGGCAAGGACAAAGGAAGGGGCTTAGTGTGACATTTCCCTTCCCTAGATTGAAGTCATTAGCGACAGGGAAACAGGAAGGGGGCAACGCCTTGTTTGGAGAAAGGAAATGCAGAGGAAGTATGGACAGGGTGGAGGGAACATTAGCTCCCTGAAGGGGATTGCTCAGAAGGTCATAGCTCAGGGGAGTCTGGAGGTGGGGTAGGCAGCCAGTCCTGACTGGGGACAGAAAAGGGATAGCCACTCCCAGAATTGTACTGTAAGGACAATTTACAGGAGACAGTGTTGGCCTTTCCACTGAACAAAAAATGCAAGCCTAGGATTTCCACACATCTTGGTCCCAGGTTTTCCATCCAGGCTCAGCTCGCAATGGCTGGAGGCAGCTCTCTCCACAAATCCCAGGGAGTCTGGCAAACCTAATGAACATTAGGGTGTGTAGAATCCTAGGAGGCCCTGGTCCCCCCTTGTCAGCAGTATTGACTTAATAGGACTAGATGTACTGGGGCCTGCCTTGAACAGGTGGCAGAGCTTCTCTTGCTACCACTTCTTTCTGCAGCAGGGCTCACTGAGGAATTTCCAGCAGGGAAAAGAGTTTTCCCTTAGTCTGAACATGACATCTTTGCCAACATAGAGAAAATGTATAATGTCTTTGCCAACACAGAGAAAAGAAATAGAGTAAAACTGAACTTGAATCAGCCTGTGAAATAGACAAGAGGGCTGCTACCTGGATGCATGCTGCATGTACGCATTTGCATGGTGTGATGGATACTCACAGCTGTTCTCTTCAATGTGTGTGTGTGTGTGTGTGTGTGTGTGTGTGTGTGTGTGTTAGAAATCAAACAAAGGGCACTGGCAGCCCCGCTGAGATCTGATCCCATACTTTGCATGGATGTGAACTACCCACATAAAAACGGGAGCTTCCCGTGGCCCAGCACAGAGAGTCAGTCACAGAAGTTCAATCCCAACACACAAGCCTGAAAGGCTAATTGCAGTTTTCATTCCCATGCCTGTGACTAGGCTGGATTCCAAACCACAGCGACACTGTACTAAGAGTCCCCTGACATTATTTTCCTGTCCTTTAACTCTTCAGTTTCTCACTTAAGGTGACAAAAACTCCTACTTAACCTTGTCTGGGTCACATGGTCAATTTACAGACTGGAAACTGCTTTATTGTGTGTGACATGGACTCTTTCAAACACAGGTCAGTGGGTAAAACTGATTATTGGGCAAATTGGCTTATCTGAGTTTTAGCCCCAGGACCCATGTGAAGGTAAAAGGAAAGAATAAACTCCACAAAGTTGTCCTCAGATACACCATACACACACACACACACACACACACACACACAATAATAATAATAATAATAATAATAATAATAATATAATAGATAACTAAATAATCAAAACCAAAAAAAGGATTCATAGAGCTGATCCAAGAGACAGGACTCTTCTTCCAATCCTGCTTTTTGCCCACACAGTCTTTTCTTTACCCTCTCAATGGATTCTGCATTCCTGTCCTAAGTATCCACAGGAGCAAACAAGGAATGAGGCTGAGCTGTGATGTTCAATGCTCTGTGCAGGACATTAGGTGAGGCCACAAAGAGCAGGACGAGAAATCTGGGGAACTTGTTTTTCATGTGAGTTAAGCTGTTATAGAACTTCCTCTTTCAAGTAGTGTAAACTTCTGCAAAGTAAAGTCCATGGTGATGTACTCAGGCAAGGGCAATACAACTCACAGCCAGACCCTGCACACAAAGACCCCTATTCTTTTGGGATGAGTGCTGCCTTCTGGGCCATCTCTGAGATTCTGCTGAGCTAAAAATCTTCATGTTTCTCCCAGACCTCAGGTTACTCCAGAAAAGGCTTTGCTACTTGTCAACTTTTTCAAAGCCTCTGCAGTCTTCATGCTGCCTGTGCTGGTACTATGATGCTCTGTGGCTGCAAACTCCTTGCCATCACTTCATGAACTGAAACTTCCATTCTGTGCAAACCGTAAGGGAGCCACAAAGAAAGTGCTCCAAGTATGACTAAGCAGTTTCAGCATGCTTGAGCAATGCCAGCATGTGAGTGTGGGTACAAAAACCTAACATGCATGTCACTGCGTTCTAATCCTCAGAGGGAGATGGCAGCACTCAACTGTCTTGGCTCCCTCCCTAATGGAACTCACATGGGTATCGCCCCTAATAAAATCTGTGCACTTGTGATCTCCACCTTGGAGATTTATTTGCATTGGTCAGCTTTCTGTTATTATAACAAATACCTCAGGGATTCATTGTAATAATAGAAAAGGCTTATTTGTCTCTGCTTGGGACAAATGATTACTTGGTGCCATTGCCTTGGGGAAGAAGAATATGGATGGGAAGAACAAAGGCATTCTCATCATGGTAGAAAATGAAAGAGAAAAAAAAAGGGGGGGAGTGGGGCCACACAATCTCCTTCAATGTTACGCCTCCTGTATCCAGAAGAGCTGTCACAAGGCTCCATTTCCTAAATGTTCCGTCACCTTCCAGAAGCACCGTTGTGAGACCAGGCCTTTGGAGTAACTCCAGATCCACACTACAACATGTTATTCTGGGTTCCCTCCACTGGGATGGCACCCAGTGTCCATTAAGTACAATGTTGAGTAATTCTGTAAGCCATGGGACAGAATTCATGTGCCCTGTAGACATGGAATCCCTATCCTTAAGGAATTCATCCTTGGTCTGCTGCAAGCAGAGTAACACACAGCATTGATGAAATTATATATAGTTCAAAGAGGACCTCCAGTGTGGGGTTCAGGCATGAGTCACAACACAGCAGTGGTAGTTCTATAGTTTAGACCTCCAATGTAGATATAAATGAGGCCAAGATTTCTCAGAGCCAAAGGAATAAAGAACTCAGATGCATCCACCTGGCAGTTAAGACCTGGCTTTTCATATTCAGGGGTGGGAGTCCCTAGGAGCAGCACCTCAGCCCCTAGTATCGCCTGTATGGATCACATTTGTTATCTAAAAGAAGTCCAGTATCGCTATGCAGAGGTATGCTCACCACCTGGCAGTGCTCTGCATCCCAGATGGGCCTTAAGATCTGGAATCCCACAGAATCACCTGACCAGGACTCATGTAGGCTCACAGAGATCAGGGAGTCTGTAGGGGTCTGACCTCAGTTCTATGCATATATGTAATGGCTGAGTAGCTTGATGGTCTTGTGGGATTCCTGATAGTGGGAGTGGAGCCTGTCCCTGACTCTTTTGCCTACTTGTGGGACCCTTTTCCTCCTACTGGGTTACCTCATCCAGCCTTGATGTGGTGGTCTGTGCCTAGTCTTATTGTAGCTTGTTATGCTGTGTTTGGTTGATATCCCTGGGAGGCCTGCTCTTTTCTGGGGGGGGGGTGAATCTGGAGGAGAGGGGAGGTAGGGGGTAGAGACTAAGGGAGGGAAGGGAGGAGAAACTGGTCAAGATATAATATATGAGAGAAAAATTTAAGAGGGAAGGAGAGAGAGAGAGACAGAGAGAGAGAGACAGAGAGAGAGAGAGATCTAGAATCCCCAATGTTGAGTACCCAAGGTGTCACAAAGCAAAAGTGGAGTAACTTGGGGGCTGCTATCTGTCTGTCAAGACATGGACAGTGACCTACTGTCTGTCTATCATAGACATGGACAGTAGAAGAATTAGGGGAGGAGCTTTGAGCCTCAGGGTGTGGCTGCTATTATCCTTCTTTAGCCATCAAGATGGACCCTAGCTTGGACAGGACCTGGATTTATGGTAGACACAGCTGCAGAGAAGGATGTGGGAGGAACCTGCCTGGGGGATACCTCCATTTTCACCTAGCCCTCTTTGGAAGGAAGACATAATCTGTAGTCTTAGTTCCTACCTTCACCAGCCTGGAGAGATCTGGGCAGCAAAGAAGCCAACCATGCCCTCTACTGGCAGAGCCTTGCTCAAACCTGAAAGCCAGTCTGTAAGAATTCTGCACATTTTCTCCCTCCAGGGCTTGATATCTTAATGCCCGTCCTCTTGAGGAATAGAAAGAGTTGTCTGAGAGATAGGAGGCAGCCCTGTTTGCAGTTCAGCAGTCAGCTGGTGCAGGCAGGAATTCTGCATTTGGGCCATAGAAGGGTAGGCTGTGAGTGCCTGGCACACAGTGGCCAAGCTTGTGTAGTACCATTCATTTCCTGTACAGCAAGCCCACACACTGCACAGGAACCCAGAACAACATATGGACTCCTTAATGTTGAGATTACCTTTGTGTCCATTCATAAGCCTCTAAGGAAAAGCCACTTGGATTTTTCGGCCATAACTGACCTTTCTCTAGAACAGTATTGCCCAGCCAGAGCCTTACTATGTCCATCTAATTAGGCTGACAAATGTATTTGGTGGTCTTAAAGAGAGAGATCCAGCCTTCCAGGACAGTGACAGGGTTGCAAGAGAAGACATTTAACATTTAAAGGGAGCCCCAAAAACATTGTTGTAAAAGCTGCCACAGGTTTGCCTCTCTTCTGAGGTCAGGCATGAAGTAGCCCACGGGATGGCAGAGACAGACAGAATTAAGATAAAGCACATCGGAAGACCAGCCCCCTCCCCAACAAAAAAGAAAAAACAAACATCTGGACACCAGGGACCAGATAGACCAAGGGATGGCCAGGTACAGGACCCAGTACCTGAGCCCATTGTCCCCCCCCCCCTTTCTTTTATTAGAAACAAGCTTCTTTTACACTTCAATCCCAAATCCCTCTCCCTCCCTTCCTCCCCTGCCCCCTCCATCCCAACCTCCTTCGGGCTCCCCATGTAGGGTGAGGCCTTCCATGGGAGACCTTCAAAGTCTGTCACATCATTTGGAGCAGGGCCTAGACCCTCCCCTGTGTGTCTAGGCTGAGAGAGTACCCCTCTATGTGGAATGGGCTCCCAAAGTCCATTCATACACAAGGGATTAAATACTGATCCACTACCAGAGACCCCATAGATTGCCCAGACCTCCAAACTGACATCCACACTCAGGGGGTTTGGAACAGTCCTATGCTGGTTTCCCAGCTATCAGTCTAGGGTCCATGAGCAACACCTTGTTCAGGTCAGCTGTTTCCATGGGTTTCTCCAGTCTGGTCCTGACCCCTTTGCTCATCACTCTTCCCTCTCTGCCACTGGATTCCTGGAGTTCTGCTTGGTGTTCAGCTGTGGATCTCTGCTTCTGCTTCCATCAGCTGCTGGATGAAGGCTCTAGGATGGCATATAAGGAAGTCATCAATCTCAATATCGAAGAAGGTCATTTAAGGTAGCCTCTCAACCTCTGCTTAGATTGTTAGTTGGGGTCAAATTTGTAGATCTCTGGACATTTCTCTAGTGCCAGAATTGTCTTTATACCTATAATGGCTCCCTTTATTGTGGTATCTCTTTTCTTGCTCTCCTCAATTCTTCCCCTGACTAAATCTTCCTGCTCTCTCATGTCCTCCTCTCTCCTCCTCTTCTCCCCATTTCTTTCTTCTAGCTCCCTCCCCCCTTCCCCCTAGAGCCCATTCTTGATACAACAACTGAGGTAACATTGCTAGACCCCTATAGACCATATGTCTTTGCAAAGATTTCTCTTCCTCCTATGTAGAGATAGTGTAAGAAGGTCACATAGGACTGGCGACAGAGAGCAGGAAAAGCAAAGAGGAAACCCCACTCAAGTCTAGGGAAAGGCAGGTAGAAGTAATGAGAACAAGGCCTAAGAAACTGTGTCTTAGAAATGATGCATTGGTGGCAACTGTCACTTTTCATGGCAAAGCCAGCATCTTGGCTTCATCTATATACCACATCACCTGGAAAGCTTTGTAAATGACCTGGCTTCTAATGTCTAGCCACCTGCCTTTAACCCAGATTCTCCTGATGTAACTGAGGCTTGAGAGCTATGGCCTCTTCAAAGCTCTTCTGACGTGGCCTGGATGGCACCTTCAGCCTGAGAGGTCCCCTTCATGGACAGTCTGGCTACAGGTGTATGGGTCTTCATGGCCAAAACAAAACAAAGGCTAAGCTGGGGTCCTCAGAACTGCAGATAATTTATTGTCTCCTTGCTTCTTCTCTGGCTCACACCAGGCTAAGGAAGGGGAAGAAGAATCCCAAACCAGCCCCTTCCAACATCCATACCAGGGAAATGGCCTGGGCCTTGTCATACCATAGGACATGGTGAGGCAGGAGCCGATGGTGGTCTGTTACCGGTGAAGGGTGCATTTACCTTACAGAAACACATCCTGGGCTAAGATCATTTTGACATGGGAGAGAGGACCACCTCTCTGCTAGTAGGAATTACAGGCTGCACACAGGCAGTGCTAGGAGCAGAACCCTGGTTTCCAGTGTTTTCTGCCTCTGCCAGCTGTATTCATTTGGGATGTTTTCCAGGAGAAATGGCCTTCATTCACTGTGAGAAAGTGCACACACATTCCTCAGATATCTGATGAACAAATATTATTTTGTGATCCATCCTGCCAGCCACATTGTGTGAATGTGGTTTGGTTTCCCCTCTTCTAGAAGGAGGATGGCGTAGCTGGGTCTCCATCTGTGCCCTCTTTTGCTCCTCTCTGCTTATTGCCTTTCCTCTTCCCTTTTGTACTTCTGTCTTTGGGCTCTGTATCTCTCTCCACTGAAATGTTAGCCTCAATAAGGAACTAAGTTGTTTTTCAGCAGGTGTCAAAGGGGAGGAGATTAGAGCAGGGAAGGGGAAAGAAGAGGAAGATAGACAAATTTAAATTCAAACTGACCTTTACCAAAAAGGAAAAATTCCTTCTAGAGTGGTGACTGGGTTTATCCCACCAGGAGGATGGGAATAATGCTCCTGGTGGGGCATTCCCCTACCTCCTACTGTTCTTATTCTTGGTGATCACAGCCTGTGCCTAATTTCAGGTTCAGCCACCCATTTCAATATACCAATTAAAACAGCCAAATTAATAGCAGAAAGCAGAAAGTGTGTATTTATTCACTGTGGCCACATTGGGGAAAGGGACAGAGATCCCAGACATTCTCCAAGTCTGTCATTAGTGTCCTGAAGTTTAAAAACAGGATCAAAGATATGTACATCTAAGCACAGCTATGCAATCTTGACTAAGGTGTGGTCCCAACCACACCATCATCATCGTCATCTGGGCTTCAGTATCTTGCAAGGTCGTCTGACAAGTTGCCAGAACTTTGTGAAATCTCTTTGGGGAGATAACTTGCCCTTAGGGATGGGTCCTTTTCCTTTTTCTAGTATGAGATTCCTAAAGAAATTCCCATTTCTCTGGACACACTGTTTTCACATTCTGAGAGATACAGGGATCTCTTAGGATATGTACATTTCTGCCAGGCTGGTTACACTACCTTCCAGCAGTACCTCTTAGTCCACACTCTTAGCAGACCTGAGTCTTCCGAAGCTACCCAAGCTACCCATATGCCCAGCATGAGCATGCTCACAGGCCCTGTCTATGTGGTCACCAGCTATTTCCAACCCAACACAGGCCATGTAAAAGCAGCAACCAGGAGAGGGGAAAAGATTTCTGGATGGGTTACCCAGTGACTGCCCAGGCTGAAGATAGTGACAAGCAAGCAAGATGACAACATGCTCTTCTAAGAACTTCTTGTAGGTAATGATCAAAACTACAAAACCCAAAAAAGGCACATCACCATTCATAAAACATAATTAGAAGCTTTGGACTTCGGGGACCATGCCTAGGATGAGTGATGGGCTTAGAAGGATTACCAAGAAAAGCAGACATCCAGGGAGCATGCTTATTTACTGAGGACGAGATGTCTGCTTTAACATATCACAGAACAGCATCTGTGATAGGCCCTGTACTTTGCAAATGTACTTACATTTTGCATCTTCAGCACTGTGGAAAATTTCCCACATAACCTGAGGATGCCAATGTGACTTGAGTCAGCGTGTACTCTGATCTGGCTCTGTTTTATCTCTAGTTCATGTGTGGAATGCTGCAGGAATAAGAGCCAACACTCGCTCAGGAACTCTTGGGCCCAACATGCGCCAGGCAAACTCTGCTGTGGATGCTATAGTTGGAGACACAGAAAATCCAGGCAGAGCTCTATGCACATGGGGTTTATGTTTCAGTGGGGGTAGTTCAGACAACCAGAAACAAACACTGCACAAGGAAAGGGTTCTTTCCCCAAAGTAGTTTAAAATGGTATCCTGTGGCAGGGACTGCATAGACTACATCCTTAGGCAGGGTGCTCAGAGACAGGGTGGTCTGTCCACTTAGCTGGGGACCTGATGTTAGAGTGAGGCTATCCACAAAGATACTGGCCAGGGCCTATGGCTGGGGTAGTCAGAGAATTCAAGGACCCCAGAGGCTAACG